TGTTCAGCATCATAGTCTTTGACAAATTATTATTGGCTTGATGTAATTTAATTTGCTTAACATTGTTTCATGGTTTCTATCTGGATTTTCTTGCTTAAATGTGGTTGTTAGATTCTTACAAAGTTCTAAAAACAATCAAAAACGTTCCTTATTATGCATATCTTACTAATATTATAAAAGTGAATGTTTGGATGAATGAATGGATGTTTGTTAGGTATATCCGGAACGGCTGCATAAATCTTGCTGAAACATTGGCTATTAATTAAGTTACTCGGATAGAGTTGCGGGCGACAGCTAGAATGTTTAGAGGATGGATGGATGGATGTTTGCAGATAACTCCAAAACGACTGAATCGAGATTTGATACAGATATAGTTAACTGGTTTTAAGACCGCATTGGAATACTTAATATAAAAATTACTTACATGTAAGAAATTGTAATGTTTCTTTTTATTACTCTCTTGTTATTAACGTAGATGTATAGAAAAAAAATAATTTAAATAATAAACTGTACTGATTTTTGTAATAAAGTTGGAATCACTTGGAGCTTTCAAACAAAAACCTTGTTAGGGGAAATGCAAGCGAAACAAAGGCGTCGACTCTGACCGACCAAAACATTCACAGGTGTTACTTCGATATGGATTGTTTAAAATCGCCTTACAGTGGGGCCTAGTACGAATACTTGTGACAATAGCCGTCGTATCGATATCGAGAAAATATGTATTAAAATTTGTACAGCGTTTCTATCGGGCGTATATAATTGATGATGAAAATACTAAATTTTCACAAATATTCGTGATAAACCTACTCTATTTAGATGTAAGGCATTAGCAAACAATTGAATTTAGAATATGCGAAATGCACCATTTAAATTATTTTAAAGTAAAGAAAATTACATTCTTAAGAATGGCCAGAGTACCATAACAGGATGTTATTTTTTGGAGTTGTTTTAAGTGTACATCTCTTTTACTTGGTAGACAGTAAAATTTTTGAGTCATTCAATTTTATCATAGTCTAGAGATCTAAATTTCAAAGCTCACAAAATATTTATTTGCATCTGTGTATACAGGATGTTACAATTTTCCATATGTGTTACAAGACTTAGGGCCTTTTTCAGGTACTTTACATACATATCATATAGTAAATTTTAAAAAATAATATGAATAAAGATATCATCAACTTGCCCTTAACTGTACATAAGGTCGGCACAGTATGTACTACTCCTCCATACATCTCTATCAGCCGTAATATCCGAATCTACCCCCTTCCTACGCATATCCTCTTTCCACAGTCATTCTATACTTTTTTTGGTCTTCCTCTACCTTTGTAGCCACATTTAATGATTACCTTTTTGCTTATATTATCATCCCTTCGCATAACATATCCCAACCACGCTAATCTTTTACTCCTTAATCCCGAATTAAGATATGGTAATGCAAACAAAACATATTTTCTATCTATTTTAAATTCAAACTGGATAATTAATAAAAAAGCTAGATTAATCTAAAAGACTATTAGAGAAAAAAATTAAAAAGATCTTATCAATATTTTTATAAATTAAGAAACATTTAAATACGTTTGATGTAATACAGATGACTTTAGTTATATTGTACTTACTTGTATGATAAAATAAAGTTAGTATTAAAATATAATATCACAACACCACTAGTTAACAATGTACATCCACTGAGCTGTTTAAATGAACTGTACAATCGATAATTTACAAACGTATTGCAGAATAACGTATTGTTTATCTTCCGTATTGTAAAAAAATGAAATAACTTTCCCACATTAGAAAAAAGTAATACTCGAACGTCGTCCTTTGGCTAACTTTTTTTTCAAACAGCCAGCATTGACTGTAAGAACAATAGTGTTTTGTGTTTATATCTCGATAAACTTTGCCGATAGTTTATAAAAGTAGTTCTTTATGATTTTAACTTCTATGTGCCAACGACTACTCATGACAATCAATCCTAATGATGATCTTAATCATATTCATTATAAATGTTATATTAAAATTATCATTTGCTAATGATACTCATGTAAGTTTTTTATCATTATTTTTTTGTAATTATAATTTCAATTGTTAATTAGTGATTAATTTTTATTTTTTTAATTAATTTTATCCTAAATAACGTGTTTGGTTTTTTGGTTTGCCAGTGTTATTGGTCTATATAATCTTACTTCTTACTAATATTATAAATGCGAATGTTTAGATGGATGGATAAATGTTTGTTCGAAGGTATCTCCAAAACGGCTGAACGAATCTGGTTGAAATTTGGCATACATATAGAACCATAGTCTGCAATAACTCATAAGCTTATATTTTTTTTAATTCCTCGCGGACAGTGTCGCGGGTGACAGCTAGCCTTTAAATACGATACAAAAAGTATTTATAAGTTTTAAAGTATATCCTTAACTTACATTGAAATTAAGATTATTAGATACAGTGAAATTCTTCACTAATACTTGAATTAAATGATCTTGCTGTCTCTGTTTTTTGTAAAGAGAAAATAAGGGACAACTCTATACTAGTGATTTGATAGAAACCCATAGTTAAAACAGTGATTCTCAAAGTGGTCTACTGAAGTCCATAGATGAACCTACAAAGCAAGTAGTTTATTGTAATCAGAAATTTGTAGGAGACAAGTTTGAGAATCTCTGGGTTAGAGAAATAAAGCCCTTCAATCAATGTCGTACCCAAATTCATTGTAAATTAAATTGATTCGTAGTAATCAATTGGTAGTAATTAATGCTTTGCTTTGGTTCAATACGGTACAATCAATACAATGTATATCGTAATTAAGTTGACCTATTTTACTTTTAACCTATTTAAAGTCCCAGTTGCCAGTTTGATTAGAAATGTAGTAAGAAGTTGGACCAAAAATATCAGATCTAGTTTTAAAGTTGTCACGTCTTATGATTTGTGTTAAGTATATCTTGGATTCATGATTTAACCGTTTCACTTTTCATCATCCTTGAATCGGATTTATGATTTGTGTTTTAAAATTTTCCAGAATTCAGCTATTGAACAAAGAAATCATACTGTATTTAAGCCAACATCCTATTTCACAGAAATGATGTCCGTAAGTGTGATTTTTTTATCTTTGTTGTAAATGTATTTTTGGGGGAAATATTAAAACGTCTTACAAATTTTATGGGAACACTTTAAATGTTTAGATCTTGATTTGAAACTGATGGAAATATATCAATTTGTGATGATGGGATTATTTTGAAGTAATTGTAGAGCATCGGTGGCTTAGGGGTTAAGCTTTTTAGTGACAATCTGCAGGTCCTGGATTCGAATCCTGCCATGTACCAATGTGTTTTTTGATTTCCGATTTACATATGTACATTTATGCGACGTTTTTACGGTGAAAGAAAACTCCGTGATGCAACCTGCACATCACACATATCTGCGAAGAAGTTTAAAGATATGTGTGAAGTTAACCCGCACTGGGCCAGCGTGGTTGACTATGGCCTAGTCACCCTTAATTTAGGATAAGTTCCCAGCCCCTCGTTGGGGGCGTATATTGAGTTGATTATGATCGTTTTAAGTAGTTTAAATTCTTTTTACTGCCAAATTTGTGACTAATTTCGAAATATTTGTTCAGTTATATCCACAGATACCAACAAAAAATGTGAGTTATTTCGAAAAATCCGAAAATTTACTAAGAATGCCGAAGAAATACTACGAAGATAGGAAGAGAAAGCGAAAAACGATAAAGAAACTACCAAAGAGAACTGTGCAGAAGATAATAAAGAAAAGCAAAACGAAATACAGGAGAAATTTCAATTTAGCGACGATGCAGCCAACACAAGTATCGAATCTAATAGATAAATCATTCTCAGTACAAGCAAACAACGAGGTAACAACACAGATGAATTTAAGAAAGAAATCAAGGAAGAATTTGAAACTAATGAGATATCCAATGCCATTCCAAAAGTTACCTTTTCACTATAGATATAAGAGAGAAAATGATAGAGACGTATATATATTAAAAGATTTAGATGAAATTCAATTTCTTAGTGACGAAGACGGCTATGATGTAGTTAAAGCACATGTCAAGAATTATTGGTAAAAGAATTGGACCAGTTTTGTTATTGTAATTTTATAATTGGAGGAACAATGTATTATAGTTTGGAATTGCTTATTTTTTTAAGATTAAATATTGTTTGTTGAGCATTATCATCTTGTTTCATTTACAAATTGATTATTTACTTGGACTATTTAAAAATTTATCCTCGCGCCTGTTATTATTTGGACTCCTATATTGTCATTTTAATATTAACCCAATCCATTTGCATAATCGCTCAGATTGATGTCAGCTCTTCGTATTTTATAGACCTGTACAAAACATATTGTGTTTTCTGTTTTCATATCAATATATTTATACAGGAGTTTTGGCGACTAAAACCAATGGTATATGTGGCAGCAGGCTTGATAAAGGTTATAAAAATTGCTATTACAAATATGAAAGGCGTTACTATTTAAAACCTATTCCTTACGTGAGGTAATCTGACCTATATTTTGTTGGCAACGTTTCTATTTTCCTGTGCCAAATGATAACGGTTACGACGTTCGGAGCTTGTTATGAATTTGATTTAAATTGTACTCTATGTGTATTATTATTTTATTATTCGATCAACTTTAATGAAATAGGTTATTGATTTCTGAGATGAAGTAGATTTTTAATACGTGTTCACAATTTTCTTTTATATCTTACTAAAATTATAAATGATGAATGTTTGGAGGGATGTTTGTTAGAAAGTATCTCCAATACAAGCATGGATTTTACTGAAATTTGGCATAGATGTAAAACATAGTCTGAACACATAGGTTACTAATTAGATTTTTTTTAATACCGCGCTGATAGAGTCTTTAGTGACAGTCAAATAATAAATCTTAAGTGATAGAATAAAAGTCGTTGTTCCAATTCATATCGTTGAAGTAAATGTGACAACAAAAAAAATATGAAAGTAATAATTTATTAAATATTCCTTCAAGGCAATGAGTATTTAAAAAAATAGCCTATCTCTTAATTTATAGCTAATAGATTCTATTTACATTACACTTATGAAGTATACCAAGAAACCGAATATACCGGTTTTACAAAATTTACAAAATTTAATTCATTTTTTACAAAACTTAAATATATTGGTTTACAAAATGACTTGTAGCAAGACAGCGCTACATTTTTAATATTCAACTTTCATAATCAGTCTTCAAGCGCTTTCTGCTTTGATTTCTTCGCCACCATTTTTGTTCCTGTATTCCCAACCTTGGTACGCGAGGTCTTGAGGGCTTGATTCATGGTCCCTGAACGCGATGCCATTTGATCCATATTTATGAGGGTTCTGTAATAATATTTAGTTGTTAATTTATCCTTTGGTTACGTTTTACTGTGTGGAAACAGAAAGTAGTGTTGTGATACATATTTATGGTGAAACAGACCATTTTAACATCCATAATATTCTACACCGGCGTTCAAAGGGTTAAAATTTGTGTAACTAACTGTGTCTAACCATATTTTTCGGGTAGTACATTAGTTTAAGTACCTAGAGGTAAATCAATATAAGCTATATACTTACGGGATAGCTCTCATATTGAGCATAGTGTGGTGGACTTTCTCTGTAAGGGCCATGGATACCGATGCCAGCTGGGGAGTATTGAGGCCCGGAGTAATGGTTGGAGGAGAACGGCGATGTAAGATTAGGTTTGCAGAACTTAAAGTAGCCAATGACACCTGAAAGAAAATATTGAATTAACAGAAATATAGAGTCAATTTCGTGCTATAATTGGGAATGGTGTTGGAATGAATCTTGGATCTGTTGACCAAGACCAATTAAACAATCTTGCATTATAAAAGTGTAATGTATTTTACTAGGATTAGTTTGTTTTATTTTCTAAAGTTACTGGTCCACTCTTCTTTTAAATGTAAGAAATATACTCAATGTTTTTTTGGATTGGATTTTGTTTAGGTAATTCTTGGTATATGTTGTTCTAAATTTAAATTTTGTTAACTTTAAAATGGATTCGATTTTTCGATTGTATTTGATTAACCTTACCTGGTACAATAAGTGCCATGAATCCTAGGAATTTCTTGAAGCTGGCGAGACCGAGTATGAGAGGCAGGAAGAGCAGCAGCTTCAGCTTGAACAGCTTGAGGATCAGCAGCATAGGAATTATCAGCTTCTTTAGCTTATGACGACCTGTGGAAAGTAAACCATAACAGTCGATGATTTCACAAAGTTAAGTAAATGCAATATTTACTGAACTTTGACTTTTAACCTTAAGCGATTTCTTTCTTATTCTAGAAGCTTTCGATTGCTTTAGATTGTTTGAATTCCTTTTATAAGTACGTAAGTGAGATTTAAAGATGAGTATTTGGATAGAAGCAACAGTTCTTAAAAACTTACGGAAAGGTGCTTTCTTATCTTCGATGATATCGACTTCATCCGCAATCTGATCGAGGAATCGAGGGGCAATGACACCGTTGGAAGTGACGTCATCGTCTAACTGCATTTCCAGTGCTGTAGACCTTAAGAATCTGGAACATGAGACAAAATAATTTAGCAATTATATACAAGTTTCTTAAATCTTACTAATATTACAAAAGCTAACGTTTAGATGGATGCATGGATGTTTGTTTGAAGGTATCTCCAGAACGGCTGAACGGATCTCGATGAAATATGGCATACATAGAGAACATAGGCTACAATTTTTTTTTAATTCCGTGTGGACCGTTAGTAATTTATAAACTAAGTACAAATCACGTTTGTAAAAATAATAAAAAGTATTATTTCTTTTTAAGCAATGGGATAATATTAAGAACATATTTAGAGTGCCATTCCTATTTATGCTTTGGCACGTATTAACGGAAATGTCGCCAGTAACAAGGAGGTCAAGCCAATTCATTTGCATAAACTGACACTAAAATTCGATTGTTATTGCGCTTGTTTACTCCAATTACTAACGTAACAGTCAAGTGGTTAACCTAAGTAAGAGCTAAGTAACCTAAGTAAGCTTACTTAGTATAAGTGTCCAGTATAAATGCCTTTTATTGTGTGTTTATTTTTACTTCAAGCATAGGATTGCTTCATTTGGTAGAATTTAATTTCGCGATTTAATTAATTTTCGTTAAAGTTAGTGTCAATATCAAATATTATCATTTGTACGGTGTATAAATTAATTAATTAATTGTATCAAGTTTAAAGTTGCGTAATCATATTCGTTAAATTAGTTTCTAACTTGGTAGCTTTTACAATTTTAAACTCCATCATAGTGATGTAACTGGTCAATTTAATTTTATGCTCGTTCATCATCATCCGCTCACTATACGTCCTCACCGAGGAGCTCGGAGCCTACCCTAAGTTAAGGGTGATTAGACCACTGTCAACCACGCTGTCCAAGTGCGGGTTGGTTGACTTCACACATATCTTAGAATTTCTTCTCAGATATGTGCAGGTTGCATCACGATTTCGAACATCGGATAAATATACATATGTAAATTGAAAAACACATTGCTATATGGCGGGATTCGAATCCAGGACCTGCAGATTGCAAGTCAAATGAGACCCCTGAGCCACCGACGCTCTCCATATTCTCCTCGTTACTACATAAATGTGTAAAATTTATCTCTGAGGGATTTGTGATACACTAGTAGAATTAATATTGAATTATAAAAGAAACAAACCTTTCAATTTTCCTCATTCCGAATTTGACTAGAGCATCCCAATCTGTATCTTCGCTGCGTGGCTGAGAGCTTAGCTCTGGAGGTTCGTGAGCCAAAGCGCGTGCTTGTGACTCCACTTTTACCAGAACTGCATTATCTGATAATCTGAAAAGCGTGATAATAAATTATTGTTAAAATTAACAATATCTTTAGGACAGTCTTTGGCATCTACTGAGTATGTTTAGGTGGATTTATTGGACTGTTTTTTTTGCTTCTGACAACACCTTAATAAATTTACTAAACTAATACAAATTAATACATACTTAATAATTAACTATAATATATTATATTATTAAAAGGAGTCCCTTTAGGCAAGGTTCCGAAGATACTGGCAGCGTTCCCCCTTTGAATGGCTTAACTAATGCTTTGTCCGAGGTTGCTGCCAGCTCTTCGGTCTCCTGTGATGTCAATTGTTTTAGGCATTACAATTATCATTTTGGCAAATTTCTGAAATTAGAATATCGATAATCTTTACATACTTATAAGCTTGTTTGTCAAAGAAATCATCGAAAGATCTTAATGCTTGAGCTTTGAAGCAATCAGCGAGGTCACCGTTGATACATTGCTGTGTCGCTTGCTGGATGTAAGGATCTTGATCCTCGCCAAGACCGATCCAGTCTAGAAGACCACGCCCGGATGCTTGGGGCTGTAGAAATAGAATAATCTTTATGACTTTTTAGGGACGACATAATGATAAAGTTAATTATCATTTTCGATTGCTTATAATAAATTTTACTATAATACGTTATATTCTTTATCAAATTTCAAAAGATACGATGAAAATAATTGAATTAAAGCAGAAAGTGGTGGCTTTAAAATTTGATTTCAGTATTTTTACCCGTATCGTACGCGGTAAAAAAGTTTAGTGCCTGTATGGACTTTTTTTTATTATCGGACTGGAAAACTCTTTGTAATACCTTTATAGACTGAACATTCTTTTTTTATTTTTTTTAAGTAACCACGTACTGTGGTCTGTTGTTTGTGAATTACTTGCTCTTTTTTAAATAAATCATCGTTTAAAGTCAATAATCTGTTTTACCTAAAGAATTAATCAGTTGATTGAGACATCATCTAATTTAAAATTCGCCATCTTTCTAATTAAATTTATCATCTTTCTAATTAACCTTGTCTAATAGAGCTACTGCTACTTTTAAAATACATGTATACATAAACATAGTGTCTTTTTTTTCGTCGAGAGTGAGAGAGATGACATGTTGTTTTACCGATCGTCCATTGTCACCGCCGAAATTTAAAGATCTGCCTTCTGTTTCTTCTTTCGGCGGCTGATCTGGTAGTCGTATACCACCATCACCTTTGGATTGCAGCGCTAATGCTGCTGCTATAACCAGCATGAACCATCGAGCTTGGTATACCATTGTTGTGTTGAATGTGCCTGAAACAAAGATAGGAAAATCATATATACTAGTCGATTCTCAGACCTACTGAATCATCATCATCATAATCACTATCAGCTATATATATAGTGATACGTCCCCACTTAGGGGCTCGGAGCCTACCCTACGTTAGGGGGTGACTAGGCCATAGTCAACCTCGCTGTCCCAGTGCGTGTTAGTTGACTTCACACGTATATTTGAATTTCTTCTCAGATATATGCAGGTTGCATCATGATTTCCTTCACCTTAAGAACATCGAAAAACACATTGGTACATGGCGGGATTCGAACCCAGGACCTGCAGTATCATCCTATTGAAAATGCATATAAAATTAAGTAAAAACGATGAAGACGTTTCGGAGGAGCATGTTAAATTTTATGTATAAGATGTTATTATTTTGTAATGTGGCCTAGTAACCCCTAACTTGGGTAGGCACCGAGAATCTCTGCGGGGACATAATATATGAGTTGCCGAATGAGATTACAAAGCCCAATGTACTCAAGGGTTGTACCAAATATAAGTAAACTTGGGATTGAACTGCATGACTGTGGACTTCCACTGGCGAAACTGCACAAAACATATCGTTATCTCTCTTATTCTCTTTGGAAAAGAAAAGACAACAAACAGTATCTCCGTGTAATCTGTGCAACGATTTTTTCTTGTATTTTTTAGTTTGTGCCGACAAATATTGTGTAAAAAAAGTAAAGAGAAAAATGTTTTTTGTACAGTTGTTTTGGCAGTGTATACCTACGGTTAGGTAACAAAAGTTAAAGAGAATTGTTTAGCGAATTTTGTTGTTTGCACTTACGACTTTATCATCAGTTTATGTGTAAATCGTATTCGACATTCTTTCGCATATTTTTCTTGCTTTTCATTTTACACTTCACTTTCCTGTTTGTTTCCGCTAGTTGCGCGCAATAAAACTTGATTATTAAAATTAGTTCTTATCTGTTTGAGATTAGGTTCAAAATCATTGGTATTGTACGTAAACATTTCCATTTGTTACTGTCAAAGATAGAAAGTACGGCACATGCTTTATGTCACGATGTTTTCAGATGCTATGGATGATTGAGTTCCACGTATTTGTGATATAAGTGCAAAAAAATGAAAACACTATTATTTTTTTCCAAACAAACTTTGATAAATAATTTTATACTGGCTACTATTAAATGCACAAATAATTAAAAGATTATATTTTGAAAATGGAACGTTTTGCGCGCTCAATGTGCGAGCGAGACGCACAACTTTCGGTCGGCAACTGGCGGAGGCGCACGTAATGGCCGCCGGTAACGGTTAGCGACAATTTTGGCGCGCGATCGAAAAAAGCCTCCATGAATATATAAAAACAATTCACACGTGAAATGAATAACAATAACGTAAAACATAAATTAATACAAGAATTAATATTTACACAAAAAAAGTAAAATTCTTTCCTGATGCCTGGGTTTTTAAATAAGGATGTTTTACAACTAAAAAGCTATAAAGTATGTACCAGCATTCTTTAAATTGCATATCATTCGTAAATTAAAGTAAACAGTTTAGTGCCATAGATGGCTGTAGTAGTAATTTCTATTTTAACCAAAACAATACTTATTTGGTAATCCTAACCTAACTGTATCTAGTTAAATCAAACAATAGCCAGGAAGTCTGTGAATATGTAACGTGAACTGTAAAATTTACATCCAAAGTAGTTCCTTTGTGTAATTTGAACGAGCTTAAGTGAAAGCGTTGCCGTAGCCTGCACCATTAATAGCAATTAGTTACGTTTGCTCTTTGCTAAAGGAAAGGTTTAGCCCTTATATACACTTGCGTTTTTTATCGCGTGTTTAAAACGATTCGAATAAAACAAATGAATCACCATGTACCTATTTATACGGGAATGGTTTTCAAACGCGTCGGTTTTTTTTCGCGCATTTTGAGCGCTATAATAGCACAAGAATATTAAAGCGTTAGTCGCTCGAGAGTCGCGAAGTTTTAACGCAACGTTAAAGAAGCGCTCGTACGTATTAGGGCTTAAGGTCTGTTGGACTTTCCTTTTAGTTAGTAAAAGTAAGGTACATATACTATTGATGAAACAATTTAATCGGGATTAATTTTTTATTTGTAAGTAAAACGCAAATCGTGACATAAGAATATTTAAACTTATTAATAAACTTTGCTCAAAATCAGACATGATTTCAAATCAACAACAAATTCTACAAAATACTTTAATGACTGGGCTATAATATCGCCATTAAATATAATCTGAAGAAAAAAATAGTTTTTTAATTTCTCCGTAGGAAAGTTTTGACATTGTCATTCTGTTCGACTGAGCTCGTCTCGTGTATTGAATGAATAATGTTGATACTTGAAGTAATAGGTGCAATGAATGCGGCATTTAATCTTATTAATATTATAAAAGTGAATATTAAGATGTAGAGCATAATTTGGAAGAACATAGACAAGTAATTATTTTTTTTAATTCCGTACGGACAGTCACGGGTAATTGCTTATAATTCACCTTCAAATCGACGATTGAATTCAAGGTAAAATTACAATATTATTTTCTAATAGACGCCATTTGGTCCGTCAAGCTGACCAGGCAGGCTAATATGATATCTAAAATAAAGGATTTCTTTTTTACATTATTTTATTTTATAAGCGCGCCTATAAATGATAAATAAGATGGCATAAGATCCTTGTCGAACTTAACACGTACTTATTTTATCTAGTACGTCATTTTCTATCATTGGGATAATGAAGTGTGAGCTATAAATGACATCCTACTGATAGTAGTCATGGGTAGGAAATTAACGACCTCGACTGTACCTCCTTAATCTATTAATATCATCAAAATACGTAATACTAGATTTGTCATGCCCTCAAAATTTTAACTGTTCCGTTTGTAGTTACGAAATGAATTACATAATGTCAATTTTGAATGCCACATCCATTCGGTATATGATTCATAGCTCCGTTCGTAACCCAGAAACAAAGTGCCCTCTGTTTAGTATAGAAAAACTTTCTCTTAAATACTAAAGACATTTTTCAAGTAAATTCCCGACGTTCTCAGTAACAGCCTTTTATACTTTCTTAAGATTGCGCAGTGGATTTTTTTTTGTTTTAAAACAAATTTAAAAGTAGCCGTCGCCTGTGACAATTCGTGGAATTAAAAAAAAACTTAATTAGTAGTCTATGTTCTTCCAGAATATGCTCTTCATCTATGCCACATTTCATCGAGATCCATTGAGCATCGAGATCGAGAGAGTTGAGAAGACATGCATAGAAAAATATGCTACAAAAGATATACAACCTGTACAATTTCAGTTATATAGTTTGATACTTTTGACAGACTGACGATTGACTGACATTAAATATTAAAAAAAATTGCCTTTAACGTCCGGTCTATAACTTGCATATTATTTTAATCTCTTTGGTTTTAAAACTCACTTGCCGAATTCTATCAATGTTTTATCTGACACCTTCGACGTTTATAAAAGACTGGCTATAGACGTAGTACTTTGTGCCTTTTGGATATTCGCCATTTTGGCGCTCATGGTATCGTTTTGTAGCGGTGGTGTTGAATCGAACTAATAATATAGATAGAATTAACGGTCAAGTTACATCAACAGACGTGTTTAAATCGGATCAAAGAAAAATTTGTTATTTCCAAGCAATCGCCTATCTATTTATGGAGATTAGTGTCTGCCAAACAATCTTACTAAGATTATAAATGCGAATGCTTAGATGGATGTTTTTTTGAAGGTATCTCTAGAACGGTTGAACGGATCTCGATGAAATTTAACATACATATAGAACAGTCTGGAAGAGCAGATAGGCTACTAATTATTGTTTTTATTATAATAATTTCTTGCGGACGAAGTCACGGTCGACTATTAAACGATATTCTTTTTTCGTTCGATTTTAATCTTTCAGCAAAGTTACAGTAAGCATAAGTTAACAATCAACGTGCAATATTAAAATTCATTCGCGCCACACTGAGAATAATAGCCTTTTAAATACATGTATCAAAGCTTTATTTCGCTGTAAAATGAATGGACATTTAGGTCTTTAATTAATCTTAGTACCTTTTATTAATCTTGCTATGTCAAATAACCCTTAATTTAGGGTAGGCTCCGAGATCTTCAGTGGGGACGTATAGTGAGCTGATGATGATGATGATGTCAAATAATAATTAAAATATGCGTTTCATAATAAAAAGTCTTCGTGTTGGGGTTTTTTAAATATTAACATATTAGGTGCAATTACTATCAAATGAAATTAGATAATGTCAAAAGAAATTGATATTACACTCGTTGGTATGTACTAACTGTTGCCCGCTACTTCGTCCGCGGGGAATTTAATAAAAGACTTAAGGCTATATGTTCTTCCAGACTATGTTCTATATCTATACTAAATTTCACTGAGAACCGTTGAGCTGTTCCAGATATACCTTCGACAAACATCCATCCATCCATAGTAATATTCGCATTTATTATAATCGTATTTTAAGACAGTTAAACACCTATGTTACTCAAAGAGAATTTTTGCAAGAAACTATGTAATTTTTTTTTATATTATAAGGTGGCAAACGAGCGAGCGGCCACCTGAAATCGTTGAAAAAGCGAAGTGACCGTTGCCCATAGATACACGCAAATGCATATGTGTTGCCTACCTTTAATCGACGGAGGAGAGGATGCTTAGAAAGAAAATATTTTCCCTTCCCATGCATCCTCTCATGCGGAAAGCCCACTTCCACTTCCCATCCTTTCCTTACAAAAAAAAAGGATAGGAAGAGAAAGAGGAGTACATTAGGCCTCCGGGACACACAATCATCAGACGAAATGCGGAATAGCTTCCACTTGACGCCTGTCTTCTGTCTGGTCGTGGTATTTCACCGGGGAAGCCGGGCCAATTCGTGCGAAGATGTCAAAGGGCTCTACCACTGTTAAGTTTTTGGATTATCTGTTACAAACATACAAATCTTTCATCTGTATATTATATTAATTGATTGTTATTTTGTGTTTAAATTAAATGTAAATAAATAATAACTTACCTAAATTAATTAACTTAAAAAAACAAACTAACTAAAATCTAGTTCACGTTCAATGCACTGAACGATGCAAGTAAGAATGACCCAAGTCTTGGCTATCCTTATATAATAACAACATAAGAATTGCATAAACTTCTTGGATCCGTATTGTATCCATTCAACTCACGACAAATTAATTTGAACCTTAACATCCTAGACATAAGAACTTTTTTCAAACATACAAAAATATCAGTTTGTACACTAACATTTATGAGTGATTTGTACTTTCATTTTATTTTACACTTTAAGTGATAAGGCTTTTGAGTTCAATTTAGCTTTATAAGTACAATTTTAAAGTCTTAGTGTAAACAGAAATAGTATGCCACAGTAAAATGACTCATAAGGATATGAGAGTTAAGATTAATTTCGCTTAAGTAATTTTTTGCAAAACGATCGCGTTTGAATGAAGATAGCGTAACTTCGGGATATTCCCAGTGATTGTTTTGAGCTCTGTAAGCATGGAGATAGACTATTAAATATTGTTTGAAAATTTTTAGCTAAAATAAGAAAGAAAAACGTCGTATTTGTTTATATCAAATACTTATTTATACATTTTTTAACATATTTTATATATAATTTAATCTGGATATTGTTTTTATATATTGAATGTTTCGTGCGAGGTCCAGCTTCCAATTGGTCCTTATGCCCGTTGGACTATAGACAGTAGACAGTAGACTCTCTATTTAATTTTACAATACAAAAAAAGCATTATTTTTAATTATACGAATCTGATAAATCAAATTAAAAGAATTATAAAAAAATATTACTTCAATATTAAAAAAAAGCCGTCTCCGCTGTTACCGAGCGTATAACTCGCAAACCAAATCCTGGTTTGGTTTCATCATTTAGTTCATGGAGACGTATTCCCTACGTCAAACATCGTTGAGGTTTCAAAATTGGACACTGGCTGTTACAAAAAAATAAGGTTGCATTCACAAATAGTATCCGGGCTTGTTGATACACATAAAATAAATTATTATGAAGTCAAATACGCTATATACTGAGTTTGAATATAATTTCTGGATAATGATACTAAGAAACCAGTCTATTAATTATAGAGACAAAATTCTTGTTTGAATGTTTGATTTTAGAAAAATTTAGAGTCTTAAGAAGTATTCATATGTAATTATAATAATTCTACGCATTATATTATATACAAACTCCGTCGTCACGGAATTAAAAAAAACATTATTAGTAACCTATGTGTTCTTCCAGACTATGTTCAATATGTATGCCAAATTTCATTGAGATTCGTTCAGCCGTCCTTAAGAACCTTCAAAACATCCATTTAAGCATTCGCATTTATAATATAAGATTGCTATTATCCGCGACTTCTTCCGTGCGAAGTAAGCAAGAAATTCTGGTTTAAGAGAAACCTCAATAAAGGAGGAAAATATCACGGTCCCATCGACTCTTCTCCTCGAAAGTTACTACCACCGTTACTTACTTTTACAAAGTCGTTCATTTGTTTACAAAGTTTAATCTTTATTTATTTAGAATATCGCATATTGCTTTTCATATCGGCGTACGGTCCCGAAGAGTAAGGTACGGAAGCACCAAAGCTTTACTTACTTATCTGCGCAAAGAAAGATTTTTTTATAAGGGAAGGGTGCAAATCGACGGGATCAACGACACACATCACACGACATCTGCATCACTAGATGAACTGCAGCGTTACCAGGATTATTTGATATCTTTTTAAAATGTATATTTTTCTGCATGACCTTAATTGACACAAAACAATGACCGAATGACACACAAAATATTACTTAATATTATGATTCACGTATTAATAAATATAACATCGATTAGTTAGTTACAATTTAAGCTTTATCTGTTCGCAGATAAGATCGAGAATCAGTTGCTAAAGTGAGATTAAAGTAAGGTCAACTTTCTACTGAGACAGTAGTGGGATAAACAACCGGATCTTTGAGTACATTCACCGTACAGCGACTTATGCGTTTTGATACTTGAAAAATTAAAAAAATTTAAGCAACTACTAAATGGTGTAAAAAATCTTTTTAAACTTTAAAGTCCCAGATTCTTATTAGATAGTACTTTTGTCTTTCAACCCTATTCTTAATGTCTCTATGTAGTAGCGACTCAGTATGTACTACTCTTCCATACTTCTCTATCAGCGGTTATCTGAGTTAACTTCCTTCTTACGTATATCTTCTTTCACTCGATCGATTCATTCTTTAGTCTCTACATTTGTAGCCGTCCACGTTAATTATCTCTTAAAATGTTTAAAAGTTATAGGTCATTTCCTTGAATTGCTTGCTTCTGTTTTGCCCGTAAACAGAGAAACATTTTTTAACACGAATGAAAGCTCATTAGTAAATGAGTAATTTTTGAATAAGTGTGAGTTCTCATTGCTGAAAATTCCGGTAAAAAATGTATATTGTTAGTAGCTGTAGACCGCGACTCTGTCCGCGCGGAATTAAAGAAACTTAATGTGAAGGAGAACTATGTGTTCTTCCAGACTATGTTCTACAAGTATGCCAAATTTCAGCGAATTCCATGCAGCTGTTCTAGAGATACCTTCTAACAAACATCCAACTAAACATTCGCATTTATGTCAAATATGTGCGTTTGGGAGTGAGTTGTTTATGTGAGTAGTGTGAGTTTATATTAGTAAGATATCAGTTTAAAAAAATGTGAGAAATTACTATTGATTGTTTACGTTTACATCTTACCAAACATTTCGTTTTGTTTATGATATAAATAGAGGAAGTGTCAGGTAACAAAAAGGAAAGGAGAGGTTTAGGTCACTGCCTACACTAGATATATTAAAGATATATTTTATACCTATATTCTGTAGTCGAGTTACTTCCCACTTTCAATCGGAACGTTGTTCCATTCCTATCGTGAAGTATAATGGGTCTAGTACGAATATTTATGACAATCATTATGATATCGATATCGACAAAATTTGTATTAAATTTTTGCAGCGTATCGGCCGTAAAGTACACCAAAAATGTCACACAAATCATACCATTATAAATGCGAATGTTTACATAGATGTACGGATGTTTGTTTGAAGGTATCTCATGAACGTCTACACAGATCTCAATGAAATTTGGCATGCATAAAGAACATAGTCTGGAAAAATTGATAGGCTACTAATTATGTTTTTTTTTTAATTCCACGCGGACGGAGTAGCGGTGACAACTAGTTTTGTTATAATTGACGTTGACGTTACGGAAGCGTTTGTCGAAAATATTCGTGCTAGGCTCATTGTTTTTTTACAGGAGATGTCTTTTTTTACAATTTTTAGTCTAAATCTTTACAGCGATTATAACGAGTGAGTGTTACTCGATTAGTGTTAATCGATTCGTACTCTTGCCCGGAATGTTATACGTGTAGTCAGTAGAGCTAATTGTTTTCTTTTGTTACATCTCGTGAAATTATTTAATGCCGGAAATTCATTAATTTACTGTCACTTTGTACGCTTATTTGGTGAGCTATTAATCTTCGGGATGTAATCATGAAAAATTCAGTTTGTGTTTGCGAATTACGTGGAATACTGAATACAATACGGTCTTGTAAGATCTTCCATTAATCTTTCTAATAATAATGCGAATGTTTAGACGGACGGGTGATTGTTAGAAGGTATCCGCAGGACAGCTGCATGGATCTTGCTGGAATATGGCATAGATGTAGAACATAGTCTGGAAGAACACGTACTAATTATTTTTCTTATTCCGCGCGTATGAAGTTGTGGGCGTCAGCTAGTTAAGTAAGAATAAAAAGCAACAGTCGTCAAAACAAAATATAATTTATTAATTTATACTATGACTATATAAATTATTTAATTAAGTGTAAACACAACGATATTAATTTTATATAAGTTATGTTAAAGTAATTTACAAAATTCTCTTAAGACTTTTAATATCTTTATTTAAATTTACAAAATAACGTATTTCATAACGAACAAATTTACATAGGGTGGTACAAAATTTAATTAAAATATTAAATGTTATAACGTATCTTTTAAAGTGAAGGATTTCATTATAAAACAAAATAATAAAGATAATTAATATTTTAATCAAATCAGACCAAGATTAATATTAAAGTTTACAGTATTTATATAAAAAAAATAAGTATTCAATTAATATTTATTTAAAATTATAACACGCACACAATAAATACAATTACACAATAAATTACATTCATACATCAAATAAATAAATTAATTATTTTTCCATTTTCAATGGAACTTAATTTAATTTAATAAATATATTATAATCTAATATTTACATCTTTTTAATAAAACAAGTATTGTTTAATGTAAAGTAAACATTTTCATTAAATGTGTCAAATCTAATTAATGTTTGAAATACAATTAAATTATAATCACAATCTTATTGTCAAGTTAATTACATTTAGACATTTTAATGGAAATACAGGGTGATGTTTTAATGGAATTTCAAAAGTTAAAATTTAGAGTGATACTTGAAAGTGAAACAATAAGAAATAATTGAACTGAATATTAAATTTAAAATTATTTATAAAAGCATTTACAATTTAGACAATGCATTATAATTTTCATAAAATTGACTTTAGAACCGCAGAATGGCTGGTGTCTTCAGAAACCTGGAAAGTTTAATTTAATGATAAGTGTTATAGGTAATATAGAAATAAATTCCAGCTTGACACCTTCACGCGTTTTTGAGAAAAAGGGCCTCGACAGAAAGACGGACAGACAATAACGGTACCCTAAAATCGGTACGGAACTCTAAAAATTATGAACAACAGTCATGCAAACCTAATCGAAAATTGCTAGGAAAATAACTCCCTTTCGCTCTTTTTTTACGGGTGTTTATTTTATCGTGGGTTTTTGAGACCAACATTATTTAAAACATATTGTTATCTCTGCTTTATCGACGATATTTTTTATAAAGAGATTTTTGTCTCAGAAACCCACGGTTAGTCAAATACAATCTATTTTTGGAGACTTAGATCAAAGCTGTTTATTTTTGATTACAATACAAAGAACTTATTTCTTATGTATACTGTCGTGTTTATATTTTAAAATGCAAATTTTAACTGGCCAGTTTGTCTTTAAAATGAATATGTAAATTCGCATAAAACGTTTCACGTCGAAAAGAACATAAAGTCATACGACGCTCGGAGGGATTATGATGATGCATATAAACTATCAGCCATTAAAAAGAAAAAGAAAAATATTACTTATAAATTTTAAATTACAAGCGGTAAGGTACAGTGAAAGCGTTACTCGGTGTAATTAATACGTAAAAACTATTTTAATTCCTTATTCCTTATACACCGATCCTAAAGTCTTTTATGGATAGCGCGATTTAATTAGGTAACTATTCTGAAAGATTTCTCTTCGAAGTACAATCAATATACTTCATAGATGTGCGATAAACGTGCCAGAACGCGATTTAAGTCAACGTTAAAATTTCAAATGTTGTATCGTTAGCATATTAATAAAGGTTTGTTTACCCTATCACTTCTTAATCTTCCTAGCGGTGACGAGTTTGTTGATATCATGGTAGGCAGCTATCATAGTATGTGATGGTGTCGCAGTAGCGCAGGCGGGATGCAGCCCCACGCAGTCAGCACCCTCCTGACCACGACGTGCTGCTCGCATGTAGCGGAAGAACCGTAAAATCTCAGGGTTATCAGACACCGGACGACGAAGCTCGTTTAGTTCCCTGAAACGGTAGAAATTTATTTATTTACTAGCTGTCGCACGAGACTTCGTCAGCGCAGAATTAAAAAAATATATGACCCCGTGCATCAGCTATCTACGTGTCCGTATCCTGTTAAAATCGGTCCAGTTCCGGAGATTATTCGGAACGCAGCCTTGCGGACACACCGACAGAAAAAATTTTTAAAAATTGGATTTTAGTTGTCAGTTAAATTAGTTAAATACTTTATGTGTGTTTAGCTGACACTGTTTTCTACAAAGGGCAATATAATTGCCTTAAGATGTTAAGGGATCGAATCAACAACCCGAAGTTATAAGTTCGTAAAATTACCTGCTCAACTGCGCCGACACCAAGTTACTGTATGGCGCGTACTTCGCCGGGCTGGAGTACATCAGGCAGATAAGTTGCTCGCGACATGACTCTAACTTCATGTCGACCATGTTCTGACCTCCCGCACCATTGTCAATCGAATTCTCTGATGGCGCTAGACCTGTGAAAATGAACATTCGGTTATATTAACACATAAAATACACTAAAAACTGACTACATTTAAGTATACTTAGCACTTAACGCATAAACTCTTTTGAAAAGGACGAGAGAGTTAATCTCAGTTCACTCATTATGAATAAAGCCAAGGATTTGAAACTAGTCGGCGCCAACACTAGATTACTTATTCATGAGCATAGCTATTTTAAAATTTTGTTTGGCGAAATATTTAACACAAAAAAAAACAGCCGCTTCTATTTACACAGGCGTCGTTTTATAACTAGACACAGAGAAATCTATAAGAGAACATCGAGGTAAAGTAAACATTTACGGTACACCGGATTACCAAATGGAAATCCGACGTATTGCGATTTTGAGTCTATGCAATAAAGGTGTACAGAGCAGGGGATCCAATGTTGTTTTCATTTCAATGAAAATAATAAATGTATAAGCGGTAAAGTATGATGCGAAAGAAAAGATTTTTTGTAATTGGACTACCGCAAACGAATCTAACTGTACACAAGTTCTGCGGTCTTTTATACAATTTAGGACCATCGAATGGTGCTTCGTTAGTTCGTTTATATTTTCCTTGAACTTCTATATTCTTCTAACTTCTATATAAGCCCTATTATATACGAAAATAAAAAGGTCAAGGAAAGTATACCATATTATTATATTGTATAGTGAACAACAATGAAAATAATCTGCTAATAATTCGACCCCACTTTTCTAGAGCCATAGTCTCTAGAGGTTTGCGTCGGCATTTTATATTATCAGATTCTATTAATACTAGTCAGCGATTTAGCGCTAAAATCTTACTAATATTATAAATGCGAATGTTTATTTGAATGTATCTCCAGGACGGCTACCAGATCTCGATGAAATTTAGCATACATATAGAATATAGTCTCGTAGAAGACATAGGCTACTAATTATTTTTTTTATATCGCGCGCACGGAGTCGCGGGCAGCAGCTAGTTTTGAATATGTTAACAATCGTATCAATTGTGAGATTAATCGAAGGATTACATTCTGTATAAAATGTATTATTGTCTCTTTTACTCTCTTTGAAAGAAGAGAGACAACGATATGTGTTCGTGCATGTGATTCCGCAATGGAAAATCACTGTAACAATACGAATAACCAACGAACATAACCTCCTTCTTATTGAAGTCGGCTAAAAAAAAGTTTAATTAACTTTTGTTTATTCTAGAAAAATATTACACGCGAAATATAAACGTTTCGTATTTTAATATGTTTTGACGTAAAATATTTTCTTAGAAGAGTTAACATATTAAATTGAAAATTTACGTAACATCTTGATATCTTCTCAAATATATTATGAAGATTTTCACCGCTCTTAAAGTCGGTAAGAGGCAAAAGCTGATATTTGTATAATAACATGGAGTAATAACATGAGGCAATATAGAATGAACATAAAAAAATCAATTATTGTACAGCAAAATATTTTTAATATCGTTTTGGAAACTGAATAAAATCGAGAATCTTACTATCTCACTAATATTATAAATGCGAGTGTTTAGATGGATGGATGGCTGTTTGTTTGAAGGTATCTCCAAAACTGCTAACTGGATCTTGATGAGATTTGGCATACATATAGAACATTGACACGAAGAACACACGGAAGATCATAAATTATTTACTTCCGTGCGGACGGATTCGCGGGCGACATCTAGTTTGAAATATAAAAAAATAAAGAAATTAAATTGAGTACATCGCTAAATGAAACGAATTTCTACCAATGGGTGACCAATTAGTAACTATTATAACACCGGCTGTCCCCCGCGACTCCGCCTGCGCTTAGTACAAAAAACCTTAATAATAACCTATGTGTTCTTCCAGGCTATACTCTTTATCCGTTGAGCCGTTCTGGAGACAGCTTTTAACAAATATCCATCCATCTAAGCATTTGCATTTAGTAAGATAGTAACGTTAATGCCTTCTCTATTAGTGAGACTTTATAGCTCTATGTTTCGCAGGTAGATTTCACAAAGTACAGGAGAAAGCTCCTTTCTGTCGGTTGTTATAAGTTGAAGAGCTTTGGTATTTCAAGTTTTTAATCTCCAGTTTCATAATATATTAGATATTGCTCCTGACTTCGTCTGCGAAGGGGCTAGGATTATTGTTTAAAGTGGAATATTAAGAGTTTAGAGAGAATATTTAGGTTAAGAGGTTTAGTATGTCTTATGTATTTCTGCTAACCTTTTTGATGGTTATTTTATAAGATTTATTTATTGTTGTGCACTCACAGATGTTTATTTAACTTAATAGTTTAAATTCTATTCCTCTTATTTTATCTAAACTCTGGACTACCTTAGTGACCTCTGAACGACTATTATTCAGTCAGAAGAGATATATTCTTGTAGGGTTACTTATTATTATTTTCCCGTGACTTTGTTATTAAAAAACTAAGTAAGTAGCCTATGAGCTATTTGTAACAGTAATCCTTGGGCCAAATTTTGTTTTTCGAATACCTTTTAAGCTTAACTTTCGCATTTATAATATTAGTAAGATACAATGCCAAAATACTTAAAACAGTGGCGAAAACAAAAAAACATTTTTTTTTATTATATTGCGTTGATTGAAAAAAACAAACACCCCTTATGTAGTTTACACAACAAATAATGTGAACACCAAATGCGATTCAGTTTTATGTTTTAAATTCACAATGTTTAAACCTTTTCATTTGTTAGTAAGTTTACAAAGAAATTTCATATAAACTTACCTAATCTTGCAAATATACCATCAAGTCGAGAAAGCAGCGGCGAATAAAATGGATCGTAGTTACTAAGAATCACAGACGAGGATGGTATTTTCTGGAATATCTGGAATTGAGGAAAATATTATGAGTATTTACGTTAATTTCAGAACAGAAATATTTTAAGGTGATACTGTTTAAATCCTGTTTACACAATTATTTCTATACATACTAGCTGCCGCCCGCGACTCTATCCGCGCGGAATTAAAAAAAGTTGTGTTATTTCAGGTTGTGTTCTACATTTATGCCAAATTTCAGTGAGATCAGTGGAGGTAATTTCAAACAAACATCCATCCATCCATCTAAACATTCACATTTATAATATTAGTAAGATTAATAAAATTGGACTGTCTGTATATAAAATCGAAATAAAATCATGTTTCGTAAACATAATGTATTTATGTTGCTGCTAACGAAAAAACAATTATTAGTGTGTGTCTGTCTGTCCGTATAGCCGCGTTTCTTCCGGATAATTCCCGCAACGGATGCACCGATTTTGAGATGACTTAACGGGAAGGTTGCACGCTTGCATATTTTAGGCTATTTTTTTAAATTCTGCGCTGACGAAGTCGCGGGCGATCGCTAGTTGTATAAATTCCAAGAAGCAAGATTTATTAAACATAAAGCCGAGTTATTAAGCTGCCTTTGGGTTTTTATTGGTACATTAGTGCGAAATCATTTTATCTACAATTTTTCAGAGATTAAAATCATTACTTAATTAATTTGATACTTTTATTTAACATTCAAATGTAGTAGAATAATGAAAAAAATGTAGTAGGAAAATTAGGAAACAGCTTTTTTTTACTGGAAATAGGTTATTATTTTAAATGTAAACGTTTTTTACAAAACTAAGTTCATTTACGTATAAATAAATCTTTTATCGACTACTGTTTTTTAACCGTCTTCATAAAGGTGTAGCTTCTCAATTCGCCGGTACTTTTTTTTAAATTATTTGTTCGTCGACAACTCCGCTTCTAGTGGTCCGATTTTTATAATTCTTTTTTCTATTCAAAAGGTGTTGCGTGTCATTCGGTCCCATTTTTGGAAACATTAAAAACTATTTTGTAGTTTTTGAGTTATTCTCAATAAATCGCGATAAAAACACGGAGAATAATGGGACATTTTTTTATACAAACCATCCCATCTGGTTAATCTTAAAGATCGCAACAATCCAAGTATAAACTTTACAAGTGTAAGCGTAACACGTTCGCAAGTGGGTCAAAGTGTCTCAACAAGTTAGATAAAACACGTTAAGTAAAACCTTTCTTCACAAAATATGATTTCTCTTCACGTTGACTTAATTCGGGTCATAGTAAGTGATGTCTCTGGGGGTAGATTAATCTATGACATGGCAAATTAATCAAGTACTTTATGCTACAGGGTGTTACAATTGAATGAAGCAATATCCTGTCGAGGACGTAAATTTCCTACCCATTTTGTTGAAGTGTTATTTGATGATAATGCAATTAGTTCCTAAACATGTAATAAGAATACATGTTAAAATAATTATATCGACAGCTGTATTATTTTTGATTCAAATTCGGAAGCGAATTTAATTCTTTGACTAAGATGACGTATACTTTTTAATCTTTTTTTCTTTAAATTGTCAGAGTTAATCATAATATGAGACTTTTATAATTAGGGTCATATTTGTGGTCAAATCCGATAATGCCGGTGTACTGGCCCAACACTACACTTACTAAAATGTCGACGTTTATGTCCCCTCACTAATCATTCTGACACTTGACTTGGTAACGAAAGCGCGCCATTCGCGCCAAAGGATTCTTATTAATAATGTCTAAAAGTATAGCTAGCAAATATACAAGAGACTTAAAAGCATCGTATCTTACGTGGCGTTAAGTCTACGATATGTTGTAGTCGATATGTGAATGAGGTAAATCTAAATAGGACCGCAGTAATATAAAGTGGTTAGGGAACAACCGCAGTGTATTAGTCGGTTTTATGACTGACCCGATTCAAAGCTTTGGGTTAGAGAACGTGATTCAAACATTATGCTAGTAGAAGTGTAATCTTCAAGTTAATTTAACGACATTTATTATATAGGATTTAGTTTGAATAAATATTTAATACTAGCTATCGCCCGCGATTCCGTCTGCGCGGAGTTTAAAGAAAACTTAATTAGTAGCCTATGTGTTCTTCCAGACTATGTTTTACATCTATGAAAAATTTCATTACGATCTGTTAAGCCGTTCCGGAGATACCTTCAAACATCCATCGATCTATCTGAACATTCGCATTTATAATATTAGTATGACTAGCTGTTGCCGGCGAAATCCGCGCGGAATTTAAAAAAATAATTAGTAGTCTATGAAAAACACAGCCGTTCTAGAGATACATTCTAACAACCAGTTATCCATCCATACATTAGCATTTATAATAATAGTAAGATTAGGATAATATCGTGGGAACTAGGAAATCGAAAAAAAAATGCCTTCTACAGAACCCTCAAATACCGAGTATCTTGAATTATTTGGCTTTTGTAACTCGAACAAAACATAACCCTGTCTAGGCTGTCTACTATTTATACTTGATAATTTGAAAAATCAGTCTGTAACCGTGGGTTTCTCAGAACATAATGTCTTGAAAACATATCGTCATCCCGATCATTATTTTTGACAAAACAGAGATAACAATATTTTTAAAACGATTTTCAGTCTTAGAAACTCACGGTAAGTCGAAGTTAGTATAATATCAGTACATTATAGAAATTCCCCATCAAATACTTTATATCTTGAATTTCTTATTAATCAAAGAATATGTCAGTTTTTTTTTGCATTTCCCTCGACTTTCGAGATATCGATATTCTATTGTGTTACAAATGCGATAACTGCCTTTAAATAAAAAGGAGAAAAAGAAAAAAATACGTTAATCAAGTTACCTTATAATTATTAGTGTTCGACATTTGATTTTTGTAGTAGCTGTTCTTTGAAGGCAAGTATGATACTTTCTGGCCGCTAGCACCGAATCTGTAATTAAAAAATAAAATGTTCACACGTAGTACAAAATAATACGTATAATCTGTAAAGCTTGTCCGGCCCGATGGATATAAATTACAATAGTTCATTGAAACTTACTTAGTTTTATAACAAAACTAACCCAAATAACAACGCCATAGAGACGTGATAGCACCAGGCCAGATAATTTGGTCGTACGATATCGTCTTAAAGTATTCAAAGATATGTGTGAAGTCAACCAACCCGCACTCGGCCAGCATGGTGGACTATGGCCTAGTCACCCGTAACTTAGGGTAGGTTCCCAGCCCCTTGTTGGGGTCGTATAGTGAGCTGATGATGATTATATCGTCTTATTCTCACAAAAGTAAATATAATATAATACAGACTATACTTTAACCTATTGATTTGGTATTTTACTAAAATATCAAAGTGGAAATGAAAGCTTTTCGTACGTTTAACATTATAAAAAATATTCCATTGGCGTTTATAGATTGGCACTTAAGCTCCGTGCGGAAATTCTATTCTGAGTACATTTTCAATTTCCTATTTTATTTGCGTTCTGATTCACGAATAAATCTGAACAGTACTTTCAATCCGGGAATAGAATATCTTATTTCTTACTCATATTATAAATGCGAATGTTTTGGATGGATGGATGTTTGTTAGAAGGTTCCGGCTATAAGGATCTCGCTGTAATTTATCATAGTGGAAGGAACACGTAGGCTACTAATTAAGTTTGTTTTAATTTCGCGTAGACAGAGTCGCGGATAACAGATAGTTAACGAATAAATCGAATGGTATTTTTAATCTGGAAATAAATACAAAATTCGAGCGAAATCCATTTTGCCATTGTGGAGATAAGAATATAGAAATAAGAGGTAACAAACATCCATCCATCTAAACATTGGCTTTTTAAAATATAAGCATGAATTAAGTAGATTTTAAGTAAATCAAGATTGACAACCTTTACAAATACTAAACGTACGTGAAAATTAGCTGGCGATACGAGACTTGCTGAATTTACAAACAATGGATAGAAAATGATAATAAATAATAAATCCAAACATTGCCAAATCTTTTGGGTGTAAGATGGGTGCGTAACAGAATAGGATTAGGAAACCTAACCTCTACCATCTGTGGGATGCAAGCTAGGCAGAGAGAGAGGGAGAGAGAGAGAGAAAGAGACGGAAAATTAACTACAAAAACATTAATTAGTAAAAGTACCCACCTGGACATATCGACGTTTGACAGATCATTAGCATCATTGGCTTCAGCCATTGCTTCGTACAAGCCTTCTTGTGGATAAGCGTAGCTACCAGCTTGATTGGTGTCATAACCCATGAAGTCTTTGTTGTCGTTGTACGCGCTTTGATCATCTGTGTTAGCCGGTGGATAACTTGCTTGGCTTGATGCTGCTGACAATTGAGATATTCCTGTAATGTGACAAAGATAGAAATTAGAAAACAAATGTCGTATCAGTGGTTCTGTGGTTAAGTAATCTGCAAGTCCTGGGTAGAATCCCCACATCTACCAATGTGTTTTTCCATTTACGAATGTTTATTTATCTGAATTTCTTATGGGGAAAGAAAGGAACAAGCGAAATTCAAAGATATGTGTGAATTTCCGAAAGAAAAGGGCCAAAAGTGAATAGTGGAGGATAGTTTGACCACGCCAATTGTAGGTTCGTGATCTCTGCCTACCCTTCTAGGTTACAGGCATAAGTTGTGTTTATTGGTTTTGTTTGTAAAATAAAAAATGAATGAGGAAGATTACGAATCGTTTGGCTTATTACAATTGGTTTTAGGTTCTAACATAAAAAAGAAATTTTCCGGAGTCATTCGGGTAAAAAATATTATTGAATTATTAAAGGGAATACACGGAAATGAGGTGAAATATTGGATTTAAATTAAAACATCCTGTTTATTTATTTACAAATGAGCTACTCTTTTGGAAATAATATGGTGTGCGACCAAAAACATTTTCTCGAACAGTGTTCATTTCATTTTAATTAATTATAATGTTAACTTCGTCTATCATTAAACAATGCTTTTCTGAAAACATTATTAACCAAATGTACATTTTGTACTCGGATTTTCTTTTTGTAGTACTTATTTTTTTTTCAAAAATCATGTGAATTACAGCAAAGAAAAAAAAAGAGGATATAGATAGACTTTTTTTAAGCTTACCCAATTATTAATATACATTTTTTCTTTTTTTCTTTCAGTGAACACCATGATTTTGGGTAAGTTTTTTTATAAATATATAGCAGTAAAAGGTATTAAGCAAAATTGCTATGAACTTGCTCTTACGAATTATAGTGCGTCATAGCAGGATATGTAATACAACCGGGCCAACTTAATTAAGGAAAAGTTGATAACTTTCACTCACCTTTACCAAGAATTTTACCGAAACTTCCCAAAATACTCGGCAGGAACATTGCCAGAAGAATACTCTTGAAGATTTGCATGCCGATAATCAACGGTAGAAAGAATTTCTTTAGACCGAAAGCTGAAATTATACAAATAATTATTTTTGTATGGTATTTAATCATTATCTGAACTGATCTTTTAAAATGTAGCGCCAATAACCTAATGGTTTCTTACGGATTTCCGATTAAGAGGTCGAGAGTTCGAATCCCATAATTGGATTATTTTCGTAAACCATATACGTTCATAGCACACGCTTAGAGCTTTGTTGGTGTACAAAAAATATGAGAAAATTTTGCAGCAAACAGAATTTTAAAAACAAAACATAATTATTATTTTCCTGCCTTTTTTCCTATGAAAGAACAGTAATTACAGCTTCTCCATACTGCCTCGTACATTCTCTTTCACCTGATATACCAATATTTTCGTCATAATGATAACAAAACATACTTACATCTAAATCCCATCAGTCTTGCGGCTTTTGGAAGGTTAATAGATAATATATGAGTATCAAAGAAGTTCTTTATCTTATGATAGAGTCTGTACTCGTAAGTATAAGTACTAAATAGTGCTCTGCCTTCAACTTTGTCTGTTCTCATCAAATCTTTCTTTTCTATTGGTCGTATTTCAATTCCTTCTAAAATTTCATATCGATCTTTACTCAATGCATTGTCTAATATTTTTTCAAATTCATTCTCCAATTGACTCTCTGTTTGATTAACGATGATATATTTCTTTGTAAATGTATTAACTTTATCTATAACTCGGTCCATAAAACTTTCAGTTTTTTCTTCTTCATTATCATTGGTTTTCTCGTTTGTTATATTTGAGTCGTTATTTTCTTTTAAATTATTCACACAACTATGGCAGTTAGTAGATTCTAAATTACTTTCTAAATTATTTAATATTTTGGTTTCGTTATAATTTCGACTTGTATCTTTGAATTTATTTTCACAGTCACATTTAACCATTAAAAGATATATGTATAATATAATTATAATTTTATCAGCAAACCTAAACCGACATAGTCTGGTTAGTTTGCTAAATACGGTGCCTGTTTGGTACATTTTTAAATATTCTTTCAAAATTCATCACCGGATAGTTTCTTTTGACAAGCAGCAATTTTCATGGATTCAATAATCTGAAACAAAAGAAAGTCAAAATAAATCAATAAGTAAATATTACTTAGATGTTTTAGTTTATTGAATAAAATATATCAGTGAATTTATCGAAAGAAAGTTCAGATACTAAAGCAAACAAATGAGTGTAACAACTCAATTGAAAATTTCTATTCAATTTAAAGTTTTCACAAAAAAAAATTGTTGCCATTTATCAATTATGATAGATCTACGAATGATATAAAAACTCAAAAGTAAGTTTCACCTCAAGTGAACTCTCTCTTAGATAAAAATATAAAATAGATTTTTTAAATTTAAAAATACAGTTCGTATTCTTTCTGTTGTGTTTTGAAAGCTTGTGAAAATAATATAATCCTAGCCAGACTGTCTTGTCATATTATATATCTTGTTTGTTATCTTTAAATACTTATTATAAAAAGAGAAAACATTTGATTGTCTTTTTGTATGCATTAATATCTACACTATCCCCGGGTGACATATTCTGTCCGGAAGTCGCGGGCAACTGATAATTTTCTATCACTATCTATCACTAAAGTAGTTAAATCAAATCAGGTAAACTGAAGATTAGTGTAGTTTTTTAGTAGTCTACTTAAGTTATCATAAACTAACGCTGTGCGAGATTGTTTAGATTCTGACAAAATTCCGATGGCAGCGCCACTCTTACCGGATCTGTTTATCGCACTATAAAGTTCTATATCGTTGTCGACGTTCACGCAAGGTCAATTAAGGTCGGTCAATGGTCGGTGGCGACACTGATGCAAAGTCTACCACAAATGTTCACGCAGCGTGACAAATAGAGCGACCACCTACAGAGAGCCTCCTATAGTGCCTTTTAATGCTTTGCATTAAATATGAATTATGAATACGATACAATAATAATTTATAGATCAGAATAAGTATTTGTTTAAGATGTCATGCTAATATATATCTCATACCTCTGGGGTTCCGCAATACAACAGGTTTCGTTCACCTGAGGGTCTAATACGAATTGTGACAATCGCCAATCGCAGCGGTAGTAAGGTACATAAAAAATCACATACAAATTTTGATGATACGGGGACAATTTTCACAATTAGTACTGTTAAACCCACATGTTTGTTTGAAGGTATCTCCGAAACGTATCAACGGATCTTGATTTTACATAGGTGTAGAACACAGTTTGGAAAAGCACAAAGGGTACTTATATTTTTTTTAAATCCGTGCGGACGGAGTCGCGCGCTACAACTATTATTCCATAAAATCATCAAAGAATTGAAGTTGTATGTATGCCAAATGAACTTGTATTTTTTCTCGGCCATCTTTTGACATTTACGATCAATGTTCTTAACTTTCTGAAGAGTCATAAATAAAGGTGGGGGGGGGGTGAAAGTCTCCCCCTTTTACTTTCTATCGGACCCATAAGCGATAATGTATGTCGGTAATTTTGTCGTGTGACTGATGTTAAGTTGGATATATCACAAAAGTTTCCTGTCAAAATATAAAAATATATTTTTATCAGATTCACTCAGGTGGATAATAATTTTCGCGTTTGTTACTTTTAGTTTTGTTATGTTGGTTTGTGACATCCTGTAGATCAAATGACTAAATCGATTTTGACAAATGACATGTCATTCGGTTCGCATTCTAGTCTTAAATGTACAGTTGAATTGGCCAATTTATGGAAATGTGAGTTTAAATACTTAGTTAGTTATTTTATAGAATTAAAAAAAAAGAATTCTTAAAAGGTTTAAAAAGTTCTTGTTTAAAAAACAAGTTAATTTCTATATTTCTGACAGTATAGATGACAATGAGTTGACGTTGTACAGTATGTTACATTTTTCTAACATATCAGTTACCCGTACAATCATTCGTTTTATGGTGGTTTTACTCTATTTCATCAATTTGGGTGTTAATAACTTTATTGTAAAATAAAAACAAAAACACAAACATCGAAATAATTTTATACAAGCTTAATAAAACTAAACTAATTAACTTGATGAGAATACTCAGAAAATATTATTGAAGTTGTACATTTCATAACGAAGCTATTGAAGGGAACCAAAGTTAGTAAATTGCAAATCAACAGCTTGCAATAGCAATCTTAGAAATAAGGAAAACTTATAAAATTAGATGTAAGTCAGCAATTTTATAGAAGTACTAGCTGTCGCCCGCGACTCCGTCCCCGCGGGATTAAAAATAGATGTTGGCCGATTCTCAGACCTACTCGATATGCTCACAAAATTCCATGAGAATCGGTCAAGCCGTTTCGGAGGAGTATGAGAACGAAAATTGTGACACGAGAACTTTATAAATAAGATAACCTTTATTTCTAAGCCTATTCTTGTCATCATCATCATCAGCTCAATATACGTCTCCAACGAGGGGCTCGGAGCCTACCCTAAGTTTGGGGTGACAAGGCCATAGTCAACCACGCTGGCTAATTGCGGTTTGGTTGACTTCACACATATCTTTGAATTTCTTCGCAGATAAATCTAGGTTACATCACGATATTTTCATTCACCGTAAATCGAATAACATATTGCTACATGGTGGAATTCGAACCTAGGACCTGTAGACTACAAGTCAAGTGCTTAACCCCTGAGCCACCGACGCTCCATACATTACCACATCTATGAAATTACCTAAACTTTATCTACGAAACACATACGATATACAGTGTCTTAATTAACACGATATTAGGCGTTATCTACACAATATCGTTATTACCGACCGCACTTACTGCACCCTTATAATCCCCATATTTGTTGGAGAAGTAATTCCGAGGCGTTGCTAGATTACGGCTTTATTACAAAGTCAGGGACAGTCCAACTTGGGTAAGCGAGAAACCTCTATACGCGAGAATACTCGCATTACTTGGACTCTCGCTTAGTTAGTTTCGACTGTATATTATGAAAACTAATTAATTTATCTTTATTGTAGTCAACAGATTTGTTTGTCTTGTTTTAGCTTTTGTAACATTTGTGTTATTTGCTTCAAACAAAGAAAAACAAAAGAAGGTATTCATTTAATTGAATTAATTTATTAAACGCGATTTTCTTTTGTAATCTCTTAGTAATAATAAATGTCAAAATAAGGTTTATTTTATGTTTCGATTAAAAGTAAACTAAGTACAAGAATAAATTAATTAAAAAAACATAATTGGTACTTCTAATATTTTTAACAACATAACTTAATACAAAATAACACCTCACACTTTAAAAGCTAAACTCACTGATAGGATGAATTTAATTTATTGCTTGAAAATTACAGTTTTCGCTTCCTTCTGACTTACCGTTGGTTTCTGAGAGCAATATCTCTGTATAAAACATATTGTCATCCTTGTCATCATTTTTGAAAAAACAGAGATAGCAATATGGTTTGAACGCAGATTTTGGTCTCCGAATCTCAAGGTTAGACGCGCCTGTTGAAGTTTCTGACTGTTAATTTTATCGATATTATAGGTTCGACTTCTCACCACTGCTACCAACCGCAACCGTAAGCGCCAAAATGACGAAAATCGAATAGTCACAATATAGCACTGTTTATAGCCGGTCCATTAAATCAGTGGTTAAGCTGTTTATGTTATACAGAACGCATATAAAAACTCTTTTGTTGTCTTTTTTCTCTAACCCTTTGATTCCAAAACCTATTTAACCTTCTCCGGTATAACAAGATATATAATATAAATATGGAAGCATAGCGTGATAGTGCTTTCTACTCATATTTCAGTTGTAACGTTAAACGTGGGGTAGGCAAGTAGGGCGTGATAAAATAAACGTAAAAATTTATAGCCTCGCCTTATGATGTTTGTTGCGAAAATGCGATGCGACATTGTGATGGAAGTCGTAAAGTGTACACTTTTTTCTTTTTTATCGAATGCAACATATTTTCTATATGCCAGACTTAAAGAAGGAGGTTTTATTTACAGAATAAAATAATTTTGAGATTGAGTGTAATGACGAATCAGTCTTTAGAATGAAAATAGAATAACCCACATGGAATTGAATAAGGGCAAGGAAATGATTATTAAAAAATTATATGTTTCAAAATTCACTCAGTGAGAGAATTAAAATGGAAATATATTTAATTAGTCAGTCCTACAAATCGGTCCAGTGACAAACGAGCAGTCGGCCATTCGAATTCGTCGGCAAAACCGAAATGAATTACTCCATCCATCCACTATTGCAAATGAACCTCCACCAAATCGACTTCCCTTTTCCACCCTTATAAGAAAAGTGTGGGAAGGTAAATTTATAAATTATAATATTACAAGCTGTCACCCGCGTCCCTGTCCGCGCGGTATTAAAAAAAACTTAATAAGTAGCTTATGTGTTCTTCCAGATTATGTTCTACATCTCTGCGAAATTTCATTAAGACCCGTTAAGCCGTTCCGGAGATACCTTCAAACAATCAAACATCCATCCATCCATCTAAATATTCGCATTTATAATATTAAATAGTCAGACTCATGTATAATTGATAATATATAATTGACAAGAAATTGAACAACAAAGCTATTCTACAGTTTTATTTTAAAATTGTTCTCTTCGACGCTTCGCTGAGCTGTTTTTCAAGGAAAGTTCTATTGAATTTCAAAGTAAGTGCACCTTTTATGCAAGTAATTTTAAATGAAAATAGCTTCGCTGTATTTTGTATTATTTTATATCCCACTAGCTGTCGCCCGGTACTTCGTCCGCGCAAAATAAATCTAAATTTGTAGCTAACTTTATGGAAGAGTGGAACTGTTTCGCCTTGCGCTTGACAGAACCAAATATTCCAAGTTAGCGGCTAACCTTCAAGACTGAAGAGGCACTAGAAGAAGAAACCTATTTAACAGACTATGTTCTACATCGCTGCCAAATTTCATCAAGATCCGTTGAGCCGTTCCAGAGATAATTTTAAACAAACATCCATCCAACCAAACATTCGCATTTATAATATTAGTAAGATAGAAAAGTAATAAACTGTTTTTATAAACTGTTATTTCAATATGTTTATTGTATTGTATGGAAGAGGATATGCG